CATAACTTGTCTGGCATTATTTGCAGTATAGACTTGAACTATACATTGAATCTTGAATTAGTTCATTCATAATGACTTATCTTACTAGAGCCAGACCGATATATCGGCAGACCGATATTATCGGCCGATATTAGGCCTTTTCTAAAATATCGGTATCGGCAGTTATAATGGCCGATAAATGAATATTTCAAAAATAAAATAAAAACAGACGAATCATGCTTCAACCATGTCATGAGTGTTGGAGTTGTATAGTTTGTCCACCAGAGGGCACTCTACACCGTTCCTGTTGGCAACACTCGTGTATAACGCGCCACACATCATGCAACCTGCTGATCCAGCCAGAGTCGGGCAGAGAGAACCAGTTATGCATTATCATATTATTTTAGTTAAAACTCATAGTCAAATAACTAATGTTAGAGAAATCTGTTAATATTTTGTTGCGCGTTTCTGAAATAAAATATATATATATATATATATATATATATCGGCCGATATATCGGAATATCGGATTTTAAAACCAACAAATATTTGTATCGGTATCGGCCTTCAAAATCCTTTATCGGGCGGGCTCTATATCTTACCATACATTTTTATATTCTTTCTATTAAATAATTTAATTTCAATTCAGCTCATTTATTATTCTATTCTATTCTATTCTTTTCTATTCTATTCTATTCTATTCTATTCTATTCTATTCTATTCTATTCTATTCTATTCTATTCTATTCTATTCTATTCTATTCACTCACCTGAATCGATAACACTTTACATTAAGATTTAAGTTGTTAACCATTAACAAATAATACTTTTACTGCATTTGGTAATCAATTCATATGAATTCAAGTGAATCTCTACATATGCTAAAACATATTTATAATTTCAAGTTGGATAAACATGATTCAACACCAACAGTGAACATTATAAATGCTGAAAAAAAAAATGTAATTCATTGTTAGGTCATAATACCTGATGGATTAACTAATTAAACCTGTTCACAATCCACCAGTTTGAGATCCACTGATGTCGTGAGTCAATGATATCGAACAGATGCGGAGAGTCAGTAATATGCCCGTCACTCACACACCGAGGGTGGCAAAACCCACAGCCGAGGCATGCTGGGAGACGTTCAGATTGGGCCAAGGCTGTGTGTTGCTGTGGCAACGGCTCTGCTCTTTGGCGGGGGAGTCCTGGCATGGAGTACCAGCCACCCCCCCTCCTTCTCCCGGCTTGCTTTTGGCAGCAGGCACGACTAAGAGTGCACAGGGAAGCATTTGCCTCCAGACAGCCAGATAACCGCCACTGCACTTTTTGGTAAGAGAGCTTTGGTTTTTCTAACGGGTTGGTTAGAGGTTCAGTCTAGGTTTAAGTGGCTTCCCTGCTCTAGAATAACAGGTTGTTGGAATTTTTGCACTTGTGGAGTAATGCAGATTGTGTGTATATATCGCATGTTTGTTGAAAGTGCCTTCAAATATATTTGAATTTGAAGGGGTACGTACGACTGTCCTTGTGAATAACGGAAATGTACAAAGCAATATTCGTCTTCTTATGTGTGCAGCTGTGTTTGTGCTTGTGGGTTGGTGTGTACTTTTTGGGGTATTTGCTTGTTATGGGATGTGAGCTATTGTTTGCTGGTGGCAAACCCATCTGATCAGCAATCCGAGCACATCTCTCGCAGACGGGTGTGGACGGGCGCAAGGGGGGAGAGGGGGATGCTGGGTAGACACACCAGCACATCTGTCAGACACAAAGACTGGGATAGACTGGCCAGGTTTGCCCTGAGAGTGTCACTGCTTTACAGACACGGTCTAACAATGATGTAGGCGGCCAAGGAGAGAGAGAGAGAGCTATATGCTGAAAAATAAAGATGCCAAACAATATCGCTACATCTGTTTTAAATTGTCAGGGAATGAACATGAGAACAGGGAGAGCTAAATCTATATTAATGAATCAGTTTGCTCGGTCTCTGGTCATGTCCTGCTGAGTCATGCAGTAATTGGCTGTGAAAATCAGTCATTTGTTATTTCGCATAGTAAACATCATTTTTTCCAAGAAATGATGCAGTTTATTACATTTTCAGCAGCTGTATTTATAGATGAAAAACACTTGTGATGTGCCTTCTGTCATCATGCACTTACCCTGATGATGTTGCAGACCTGCAAAAACCTTTTTCTACAAAGTATAAAAGTTTGGTTACACTTTAGATTAGGGTTCAATTCTTATGCCTTAATAAACTCCTAATTACTGCTTATTAATAGTTGTTAAAAGTAGGTACTGAGTGGGATTAAGGGATGAATGTGGCATAATATGAATAAGGCATTAATATGTGGTTTATAAGTACTAATAAACAGCCAATATCCAAATAATATGCATGATAATAAGAAACTATTGTTAATAATGAGAATTGGGCCTTAAATGAAAGTGTTTCCGGACAGTTTCCTGAATTTGAATTATTCTATTCCCAATGGAAATACAATGTGACCATGAATACCATGCTCCAAAAATGACAAATGGCCACAATAAAGTAGTCTTCTGTATCTTCTGTTATCATATGATGGTTTTGTGCTATTTAAATTTAAGAAAGTAGTCAAATCTGCTATTATTGCAACATTCAGCTCTCATTCTGTACATTAAAGACTCTGAGTCTGATCTTTTTAATGAATCGCATTGATCCAGTGCACAAAACCTGAATGATTCATGTATGAATTCCACTGCTCAATGAAGGTGAAGATATTTAGTGAATAATGACTTATATTTTGATCAATTCGTCACATAAAGTTAACTCAAATGTATTATAAAGCGCTTTTCCCAATATAAATAGTTTCAAATCATGATTTTAATGTGTGCATAATGTTGGTATTACACTGTAAAAAAAATATTGTTGGTTTACCTTAAAAAAATTAAGTAACCTGGCTGCCTTAAAAATTTAAGTTCAAAATGAAATGGAAAAATTGAGATTGATTTAATCATCAGAAACTTAAAATATTATGTTATCTGAACTACATAAAATACTTAAGTTGATTTGACAAAAGAAATAATGTTGTGATTAACAAATCATGAAAAAATTTTTTTACAGTGAGCTGTTGTATAACTTGTCTTCTAGTTTTCATTCCTTTAAGCCTCAAACCAAGGACATTATTCAGAAAGTCCATTTTGTGGGAAAAAAACAACAACTTGTGTTTGAAACAAAATTTTTGAACGGATTATTTAATGCGACTCTCCTCTAGAGAAGCTGGTCTCTATCTTACCACGGGTTGATGGCGTATCACGAACCCGAGTCTGCGTGGGTGAACATCATTCTAATGGCATCTGAACAGAACTCCGTTCCCTTACTGTGCGTGTGCGTGTGTGTGTCTGTGAGTGGGTGGGCGGAAGCTGGGGCTGTAAGGTGGGCGGAAATTGTGCCTGAAAAGTGCACAAGAAACAAAAGCGATGCATTGCTGACTCCCATCATGCAGTCTGTTTGCACTGGAGAGAGAGTAGGAGTAGCAAATGGTCCTTAATCACTTTGCATCTCTTCAGAAAGCTTTGACGTAAGCCCTGCTGCAATGTTTTTCTGCGTCAGTGTCAGCCTTGTGTCTGAACACATGTTAGCTGGTCATTGCAGCATCAACTTTGAATTAAATGGAAATCTCCTCGTGCTTGCTTGTTAAATGATTAATATTGCAAATACAGTGGCTGTTTACAACATTATGCTGTGTTTGTCATTGGACTAGATGTGCTTTAATTGGGACACATTTTAACTCATACACCCACACAGTGCCTACACAGTTGATTTGTAACAGGCACTGTCTTTTGCAATGATCAGCTGTGGGTGGCCATTTCAACACTAACTAGATCCATCTTGAGGATGAAATCAGACTACTGATGCCATTGAAATGTATCTCTTCATCTCTGATGTGTTTGTAAGAATTCAGCAAGTGTGTTAGTGTCTTTTAGCTAGCGCTGAGGGATACTTTTAATAGCACTGTTTTAAAGAGTCGCGTGTTGCCAGCCAATCCGTGGGCTGTATTCCTCCCGCTGCTTAATCGGTTACAGTCTCTTCTTATACCTCCCCAATCTGCTGTTACCATGACAATTTACTCTCTCAATGTGCTGCCAATTTTCTTGCCATTTTAAGCTTTTTGCTTTTCTTTTTAAAACGTTTTCTTCCGTTTTCGGCCCTCTGAGTTAGGTTTTAATTAATGTCGTATGAAAGGACAGAGATATGACTAAATTACACATTTGGAAGTTCATTTTATTTGTATTTAAGCAATTATAGAAAACAATAGTTCTGTGGACTCAACCTTTAATAATGTGCAGTCTTGCTGCTGTTAATTGGATATTTCGTTTGTATTTTCTAACACGGTTTTCTTACCAAAGCGACAAGTGATAAAAAGTTCTTGTCTTGACAAGCTGTGATTGGCGGAAACAATAAGCGACGGGATGTTTTATCGGCCGCTTGGTTTCTATTACTGTATTTTTAGCTTCAGTGTAGACAGATAAGTGTCACTGTAAATTGAAATCATGTGGAGAACTTTTACCGACCCCAAACTTTTGCATTGCAGTAGACATTGAAAACAATATTAATATTAGTAATTAACACCAATAAAGACCTTAATTGTGTGTGTGATAGTGTGTGGGCCGCCATATGTGGTAACAATGTACTGTTATACAATCTCGTTTTCATTGGCTCAGCACCAATGGACTCTTATTTTGAAATTCTGTTTAATTTTCCTTTGGTCCTGTATCCCTGCTCTGTTTTTTTTCCGGTTTCCTTCGTTTCTGATGATGTTCTCTTTTGTTTCTATGGTTACATATTATCTGAACCTTTCTGTCATTATCGTTATGTTCGACTTGTATTTGTACTCCCTGTTATGGTTGGTCGCTGGTCGGTTCTCAAGAGTTAAAAGCATGACAAAGGAAGTGAAAAAATCCTGCCTGGATTGATTCAGAAAGTATGTGTAAATATCTGCCCGTGTGGGCGTGTGTTAATGCATGTGTGTATGTGTATGTGTCGAACAGAGCAAGTGTCGGCGCGGATCGTGCAGGAGGTTACGGCAGAGGCGGTAGCGGTACTGAAGGGTGAGCAGGAGCTCCATCCGGACACTGCCGTCAGGCTGCCATCAGGTAGGCCTGTAAATGAGCATCCTGGGATACTGGAGGTTGGCCACACTCAGGTCTGCTCTTAAAGGACTTATTGCGTTGGTGAGAAATGGTAAAAAATGGAATACAGTAGGAAAAGTAAGGTTTTTGTTTGGTTGAAGGCGCTTCTTAGAAGGCTGTACACACTGAGGATGTAATTTGACGATTTATTTTGAATGCTGAGGTAATTTATTGAATATCTTGCAGGTGTTAGGACCAACAGAAAATATTCCTTAATGGAATAGGTCACCTACAAATGAAAATTGTTAGAATATTTTGATGTTGTTTCAAATTCATATAAATTTCTTTATTCCATTAACAAAATTGGAGAAGGTCTGAATAATGAATATTTTTTAATACATTAAATACATTTTAATGTTACAAAATGTTTTTTTTTTATGTTACAAAAGATTTCTATTTTAAATAAATGCTATTCTTTTGAAATTTATATTCATCAATGAATTCAGAAAAACAAAAATGTTTTCAAAAACATTTTAAGTAGCACAACTATTTTCAACATTGATAATAATAATTAGAAATGTTTCTTGAGTACCAAATATTACAATGATTTCTGAAGGATCATGTGACACTCAAGACTGGAGTTCTTGGGGCTGAAAATACTTTTTAAAATATGCCAAAAATGGAAAAAAAAGTTATTTTAAATTGTAATCATTTTTCCCAATATTATTTTTACCATATTTTTACTGTAAATTTAGAATGGTAGTGTACTATTATAATTGATGGGAACTGGTGCTTTCAAGCTTTATAAAGTATATAAAAGCACCATGACACGTTACAAATTTTCTGAAATCATACAAGAGCTTTAACCAAAATACACTCACCTAGTGCTGAAGTTATGACGTCACTTTGTAGTGCATTTTAGCACTTCCGGTTTCCTCACCCTAAAGTCTATGGGTTTTTTAAATTGGGTTTTTGCTAAATCGCCTGAAATAAGGTCTGTGGTGAACAAAGCCTCTAAATATTTTCACGGTTTGATCTATTACATAAAGCACACCAGTTATAACCTGCTTGTGTTTTTTAAAAACTTTATATAGGCTTCATAATGTATACATTTTGGATTAACTTGTAAAGATTATCTTGATAGACAAAACATGTAAGGGCCATAACTCTTCGTTGAACATATATCTTACGTTTTGCAATTTACATTTTCCAAAAAATGCATAGCTTTTCGATCGAGGGAACCCATGCGCCACTAACTTCCGAGTTGTCCTATAAAGTGACGTCACTCTATTAGGAACACCATACTAATACTGTGTTCGCCTTCAGATCTGCCTTAATTCTATGTGGCATTGATTCAATAAGGGTCTGAAAGCATTCTTTAGAAATGTTGGCCCATATTGATAGGATAGCATCTTGCAGTTGATGGAGATTTGTGGGATGCACATCCAGGGCACGAAGCTCCTGTTCCACCACATCCCAAAGATGCTCTATTGGGTTGAGATCTGGTGACTGTGGGGGCCATTTTAGTACAGTGAACTCATTGTCATGTTCAAGAAACCAATTTGAAATGATTCGAGCTTTGTGACATGGTGCATTATCCTGCTGGAAGTAGCCATCAGAGGATGGGTACATGGTGGCCATAAAGGGATGGATATGGTCAGAAACAATGCTCAGGTAGGCCGTGGCATTTAAATGATGCCCAATTGACACTAAAGGGCCTAAAGTGTGCCAAGAACACATCCCCCACACCATTACACCACCACAACCAGCCTGCACAGTGGTAACAAGACATGATGGATCCATGTTTTCATTCTGTTTACGCCAAATTCTGACTCTACCATCTGAATGTCTCAACAGAAATCAAGACTCATCAGACCAGGCAACATTTTTCCAGTCTTCAACTGTCCAGTTTTGTTGAGCTCTTGCTAATTGTAGCCTCTTTTTTCTAATTGTAGTGGAGATGAGTGGTACCCGGTGGGGTCTTCTGCTGTTGTAGCCCATCCGCCTCAAGGTTGTGCGTGTTGTGGCTTCACAAATGCTTTGCGGCATACCTCGGTTGTAACGAGAGGTTATTTCAGTCAAAGTTGCTCTTCTATCAGCTTGAATCAGTCGGCCCATTCTCCTCTGACCTCTAGCATCAACAAGGCATTTTCGCCCACAGGATTGCCGCATACTGAATGTTTTTCCCTTTTCACACCATTCTTTGTAAACCCTAGAAATGGTTGTGCATAAAAATCCCAGTAACTGAGCAGATCGTGAAATACTCAGACCGGCCCGTCTGGCACCAACAACCATGCCACGCTCAAAATTGCTTAAATCTCCTTTCTTTCCCATTCTGACATTCAGTTTGGAGTTCAGGAGATTGTCTTGACCTGGACCACACCCTGGTCAACCATGTGATTGGTTGATTAGATAATTGCATTAATGAGAAATTGAACAGGTGTTCCTAATAATGTTTTAGGTGAGTGTATACTAAAAGTAATTAATCATTGTCAGTAAGTTGAACTCGAGGATCAGTCGGATTCATCAATGAATCATTCAAACCAGTTTTGTGAGCTGATTTCATTAAAAATTGTATTTAATAATTGAATGAAAAAACTCAAAAATAACATTCATCACGAATCAGACATCACTACTCACAAGTAGTTTTTCATATTTTTCATTTTCAGGTGAACTGTTCCTTTAAATGATGACATATTTTGATGTTTGTCAAATAAGTTTCATTTATGATTTTATTTTTGTTTTCCTATGACTGTGGTTTGTGATTATCATTGTCGTTGTGTCTGTCCGTTCCTCACACTGTGTGTAAACTGATCAAAGCTGTGGAAAGCATCACCAGGGCACTTTCTTTTCTTTCCTAATGACATATTTGCCCTGACAGCTGGCCTGTCCCAGCTCCTTTCTGCTTGGTTTCTGTACCAATCCACCACTGGCTATCTCTCTCTTTGTGTGTGTGTTTGTGTGTACAGAGGGTCAGAGTGAGCTTGACCCCTGAGCCCTCTCTGTCTTCTATAACTTGCCAGCATCATTGTGGACATTTTTTTTCCTGGTTTCTGTGGTCGTGCTGCATGTCGTTTGTGTTGTGGTTTTATCTGAGCTTTCATGGTTTCGAAAGTTCATTCTTGAGTGTGTGTTGCTACTGTTATGTCAGTGTCAGTGTTTTGACAGTGACTTTATAAGCACTGAGTATGCTGCTGACATTAATGGTTGTGAATGTATGAACACTCCAAACTCGTAATAAGTTGTTGTCTTTGAAATGTATTTGTGGAAGGAAGAACTGTATGTGATATGTATTTGTTCACTTTTCTAGTAATCTTAAACAGTAAAAATGTATTGCATATAAATGGCACACATGAACTTAGATCATTTACAGGTTTGATCATTTGTGGTTATCCTATTACAAATACAGTCCAAATCTTCAGATGCTTCATAGTCAGACTTCACAAGAAAAAGGGGAATAAAATAAAAAAATATAATCCAGAGCTCCAAATTTCCACTTGCTGTGCTGGAATTAGTCAGCAAAATTAGAGAACGTTTTCTCGACTAACACGCTTGATGTTGAGTCAGTCTGTCAGAAGAGCTCAAAGGATTAGTGACGACAAAGCTTTCGGCATACCAATCCTGAACTCAGACTTGTCTCTACTCAGCATATCCTTAGAAACTCTACACACATACACACGACCCTGCATTTACAGTATATCTCGGGGGGCAATTTTACACAATCAAATATACAGTATTGTTGTTAAACTCTTTGCTCCTTGGTGTCCCATTATAAGCTAATTTAAGCTAATTCCATTTTTTAATCCCTGCATGGCTCTATATGTCTTTAAAATATGCCCACTGGGTTTCACATGGTTTATTTTTCTTGTTTGGACATTTTGCATTCTTAAGATTAAAAAAGTCACACCAGCGCTGGCTTGCAATTTGTGACCTTGTTCCCTCCATGTATTTTGTATCCATTGTATCGTTTCTTATCGCTCTTTATTATTTGCTAAGGGTAGTCCATCGACTGGAAGTTGAAGCCTCGCGGGAGCTGTCATCTTGTAGCAGAACTTCACTTGCGTTAGCATTCCCATTGACTCCCATTCATTTTGGCGTCACTTTGACAGCGAATAACTTTACATCGGAGGCGTTTGAAGACCCCATTTGTCCTTTATTTATTTCTAAAGAAACACGGCAATGTAAAAATAGCTCCATTACCTTGTAGCTTATGTTATGGCCCCGTAGAAGCAGTTTTAGTGAAAGTAGGCTAACGATTGCGTTATACCCACGCGACTCTCTGTCGCACAGTAGAGAGATTACCGTATGGACAGGAGAAGAAGCTTGCGCGCATCGGGGAAACATGGAGGCAAAATGACAAAATAATTAATCAGAATACCTAGCAAAATTGTCTCCTCCTAGCTCATGGACAGCTCCTACTCAAACTCTCCGGTCTCCGCCTCTGCATGTTTTGGAAGGGAATGATTCAGATTTCTCATGCCACAGCACTAGAAGACAGACGGGTTGCTCTCGTCACATTACGTAGTCAAGCTCTGTTTGAGTCTGCGCGTCAGGGACGGAAGTGCTAAAAAATCGCCAAAAACGGGCTTCCAAAATCGCTCTGTCCATTTCTTTTACTGTCTGTGTTATTTGCCATTAAAAGGCAATTCACAAAAATGTACAAATTTGTAGGCTCTGTTCCAAAACCTGTGCTGCGTCCCAATTCACATACTATATGTCCTAAATAGTATTCGAAAATAGAATTAGTATGTCCCAAATCGTAGTATGTTTAAATGAGTGTCCAAAGAGACCCGGATGGTCTACTATATCCGGTCAGAATCGATGCACACTCTAACGGCTGATATTGCCCACAACCCATCGTGCGTTGGACGAGGATTCGGTTAGAACTACAAACACGAGTAAAAAGTGTTAAACTACAGACATGGAGGACACGCAAATCCGGCGGTTATGTAGAGAGGTTTAGATAAAGGTTATTAATTATCAGTATCTAACCTGACGAAAATATATTTATTCAATGTTGGCTACATTATTATATTGCATCTGCAGATGCATTGTGAACTTTTGTAAAAGATAAGTTTAGCCATTAACTTTTAAATGCATCATTACATTCAAATTCGGAGAGTTTCCGCATGAAAAACCCACGACTGGCAGGTGAACGTGCGACAACATTTCTCTCCGAAACAGAAATTAAATTAGATTGAATGGAGGATTTTAACTGTGACGAGATGATTGACAGGTCAGTTGATAGGATGCACGCGACAGAGCTGTCCGTTAAAGATGACGAAGTAGTATGTCCCAAAGTTTGCCTACTCTTTTACTACACACTCAAAAGTATGTACTTTTTCTTCACAAAAAGTGTGTTATTTTCTATTTTATCATATTTTATAATGTAATATATTCCCTTTTAAGCATCATTTCTCCATAAATCCTTCATAAATCATTCTAATATGCTGATTTCCTGCTCAACAAACATTTATTATCATCAATGTTGAAAACAGTTGTGCTGCGTAGTATTTTTGTGGAAACCATGATCCACTAAACTTGTATTTAAAACATAAAACATACATTTTGTAAGATTGTAAATGTCTTTACTGTCACTTTTCATCAATTTAAAGGGTTAGTTCACCCAAAAATGAAAAATTTTATCAGTATTTACTCACCCTCATGTTGTTCCAAACCTCTATGTGTTTATTTGTTCTGCTGAACGCAAATGAAGATATTTGGACGAATGTTTTAATCAAACAGATCTCATTCCCCATTGACTACCATGTGTATTTTTTCCTACTATGGTAGTCAATGGGGAATGAGATCTGTTTGATTAAAACATTCTTCCACATATCTTCCTTTGTGTTCAGCAGAACAAATAAACACATAGAGGTTTGGAACAACATGAGGGTGAGTAAATACTGACAAAATTTTCATTTTTGGGTGAACTAACCCTTTATTGCCTTCTTGCTGAATGAAAGCCATGTAATCTTGCCAACCTCAAAATTTTAAACAGTTGCGTATGTAGGAACAGACAAAATGGGACGTCGAATTTATAAATGTGTTGATCTGATCTTGATCATTGTCTTGATCTCTTCCTCTCCTTTAATTTAATTATAGTGGAAGACTCTGCAAACCTGCCGCCTTCACCTCCTCCGTCCCCAGCAGCGGAACATTTTGGGCCTTTGGATCAAGGTAGGGTCATGCTTCATGTGTGTATGGAGAGAGGTGAGGTGAGAAACACACTGAAAGAACTTCAACACCTTTTTTTCCCCCATGAGTATTCTAGTCACCCTCTGACCTTGGCTTGAATGAGGGTGTTCTATTTGGGGACGCCTGCTAGTCCCACCCCTTCCAGGCTGATTTCAACCCTCTCACAGTGCCCTTCAGATGCTCACACACGCCGCTGATCTGTGGGGTTGGTCCAAAGATTGATGGAGTTGTGTTTGCAGGATCAACTTTGCCTCCTTTGTTGACATCATTCAAGTCGATCTCCTCTTCCTCATCCAGCATCTTCAGCTCTTAAACATGGCCTCATCTTCATAATTGCTAAATCCGGGAGCTTATCTTGATGAAAAAAACCCAAGCCAAAGTGACCCCACCCCTTTCTAGTCCTCGTAACCAATCAAACCCAACCCCTCCTTATACCCCGCCGAACCATGGATCTTGACTCCGCCCTGCATGAAAGCCTTAAACCTTGACCTGAATGCTGTACTGTCTCACCTGCAGCTGATGTTTGCAGGCTGTTGCTGAAACCGTGTGGCATTCAGATTGCCTGCTCATCCTCTCTCCAAAGCCCCCCTTTAGAGATCTGTTGATTGCTCCAAACCTCTCTCAGTTCCTCTGTTCGTCCTGTCTTTGGATTTGCATGTTGTATTGTGGGTGCTGTTGATGTTGTGGGCTTGTGCTCGGTCGTCGTTTTGACTGTGTCTGTCTCTACTGCCCGTGGTAGGCCGATGCCATGCTCAGATCACTCTCTGAAGCTACTAAACTAAACAATAATGCCACTAACAACTTTAAGGAGAAACTACGCCAAACACTGTCATTAAGCGGATATGTGAAGTTAACATTAAATCAAAATTGCCTTTTTTTTTAGTTCATGTTCCTTGTATTATTGTGTGCAAATCATCGGTGCACATTGTTCTAAAGAATGAAAACATCTCTTTTTACTCCTTTGAACAACTTTTAGTTTATGGCTTTATGGTTTTACCTTTTTTTGTCAGTTCAAGTTAAAGTTAAAGGGATAGTTCACTTTGAAATTAATTTTATATTAATTCTACAGTAGTTTCAGTTTTGATATTTTTAGGTCAAACTGTTCTTGTCTGTCAGTCATATAATGGAGGTCTATGGCCACCACCTCAAAGAGCATGCACAGAGAAGTCCAAATTAAACATGATTTTATGACTCGTAAATGTAAGTACACATTGATGGCCTATTGACACGAAACGAGCGGTTTGAGTGAGAAAACAAACAGTATTTATATCGTTTTTACCTCTTGTAATCACAGTCACGTCCAAGTACTCTGAGGGTGAGGGCGCTTCGTTCTGCACAAGCGCGTGATCTCGCACGTGTACATCACTCATTGTTTATACAGAGATTTCAGAAGTGTTATCCTTTCACTGTGAAGATCTAAACATATTTAGATATAGAGGAAATCGCAGTGGAAGACGATTTCAATATATCAACAGACAACGTTGAATTTTTTTTTCGCAACCGCGCGAGAGATCACTTCCGGCGCTTGCGCAGAACGAAGCGCCCTCGCCCTCAGATCACTTGGCCGTGGCTGTGGTTACAAGAGGTAAAAACGATATAAATACTGTTCGTTTTCTCACACAAACCGCTCGTTTTGTGTCTTAGGCCATCAATGTGTACTTACATTTACAGGTCATTAAATCATTTTTAATTTGGTCTTCTCTGTGCATGCTCTTTGAGGTGGTGACCATAGACCTCCATTATATGACTGACAGACAAGAACGGTTTGACCTAAAAATATCAAAATTGAAACTACTGTGGAAATAAAGACACCTACATCTTGGATGCCCTTGAGGTAAGCTAAAACATATCAAAAATTAATTTCAAAGTCAAATATCCCTTTAAAGTTATGTACTGCATACCCCCCAAATTTTTTTTTTTTAGGTTGAATTTTATTAATTGTACTGTGCCGAGAAGCGGATAAACCTAAACACAACAACATTATATATATATATATATATATATATATATATATATATATATATATATATATTAAGTTGTTCTGTGTTTTATTTTGTGTATATATCCATGCAATATATTGTAGAATTTTAATATCAGCCAAAATATTAAGATAATTATCAACTTATTGGTATCAGCCAGCATTTAAATATTTGGGCATACCTAATATTAACCAATCACTCATTTAGCCTTAACCAAGCCTTTTTTATTTACTATTCAATAATAAATATTTCACATTACAACAACGTTTCATATTGACTCTCAGCAGACACTAAAGAATTAGACAGTTTCATCCAAAGTTTAGACTTTAAACAAACCTATAAAATGTCATCAGAGATGTTCAGACTCTGGTTATGGCATAGCGGCACTACGGTCACACTTTGTGTTTCTCGACACTGTGTGTCTGTGTTTGTGTTGTTCAGTGTGTGTCTCTTTTCCGTACACATCACACATACCCCTTTCTCGTTTTATTTCTCACTTTTTTTTAGCTCTCTTTCCCCTTATTTCTCTCTCTCTCTTTCTCTCTCTTCCCTCCCCCTTCAATTTTTGCATATTCTGATTTCCCTCTTTTTACTTTCTCTCTTTCACTTGTTCCTTTTCCCACCCTTACTTGCTACACCTTTTCTATCTTCCTTTCCTTTTCCTCTCTGTCTCTTTGTCTCTGTCTCTTTGTCCAGATTTCCCTGCAGTTCTTTTCCTTGTGTCTATTTGTAGATGTAGGGGATGAGGAGGAAGCAGGTCCTCTCCGCCGCTTCCAAAATTCTCGCGAGAGGTGCAAGTTCCTCGCCCCCTCCATCTCAGTGTCTGTGCCTGAAGATGACCCCTACCACTCTGACGAGGAATACTATGAGCACCCTTTATTCAGCCCAGAGTGGACGCGCTCTGGCTCTCGCCCCCCAGGGCAGGCCGCCGCGTTTAGACAGATCGAAGGTGAACCTCGCATGGTTCCTCTCTGCCATTCTCTCCTCCCCTCCTTTCCCTCTCTCTTTCCTTCCACTTCTTTCTTCAGCTCAGCATCAACACCCCCCCCCCCTCTCTCTCTCTCTCTCTTGCTTTTCGCTCTCCCTCTTTCTTGTCCGCCTCTTCCTGTCTTTTGTCTCTGTTGTGTCGTGCCCACTCTGACCGAAGCGTGTCGTGTGGGGGTGGTATCTGTTTTTGTACCTTGTTCATTGCAAGTCATTCGGATTTTCTGCAACTTTTGTGCCGTGCACTAAAAAGGCACGAACGTTTGTGTTTTTAGGCGAAATCCCTGCTGCTGTACATGTAGTGCTCAGTTAAAGGAGGAAAATCACTGACTCTGAAAATGAAATCCAAGTGACTTGCAGCATCAGCAGGACATTTGTGCATGCTGCGCACATTTTCTCCTTTGCCTGTTTGCCGTCTTCTTGTCTCCGCATCTGTCCGCCCGTATGTGTTAGCCTGTCTGTCCATTTGTATTTTTGATTGTCCCTCATCAGGCCCAAAAACGTACCCATGCGTCTCAACAGGCCCCTCACATTTCTCCAACCTGCTGATGTACACATGCTGTAGATCACAGGATGACTTTCAGCTCTTCACATGGTGGCCCATACACACAAGCATCTCTGACCTTATTGCATCAGTGAAGAAGGGTTAATCGCTTTCAGCGCCAAAATGACTTAGTGTGGGTTGTGTTTACAATTTAAAGGAGCTGAATTTGTTCTTTTTTATTTATTATTTTAAAATGTTTCCTGTGGTGCACTTACTAATAATGTTAGCATGATTTTTACATAAAAAATGGTCATAATATAGAAATAAAAGAGAATTTTCTACCCTATTTTTAGCCCTCTGATTTGGAAGCTCTGTTGGAAGGGGTGTGTCTGCTGTGAGACTTCAGTGTAATCGCCCACTACAGTTATTGGCTAACATCTTGGATGTGAAATAATGCTGAGACATTCACATAGTTGAAAATAAATGACCACTTTCCTAGAATTAGGATCCTTTGATAGGTTATTTTAGTCCAGTTATCTCTTCTCATCTCTCTAACCTGCCAGTGGGCGGGGCCAAAGACGCAATGATGTAGAAGTAGGCGTTGATTTGATTCTACAGAGGTGGGTCTTTCACCGCACTATTACATCTTAAAGGGATAGTTCACTTTGAAATTAATTTTTGATATGTTTTAGCTTACCTCAAGGGCATCCAAGATGTAGGTGTCTTTGTTTCCACAGTATTTTCAATTTTGATATTTTTAGGTGAAACCGTTCTTGTCTGTTAGTCATATAATGGAGGTTTATGGGGTCCACCTCAAAGAGCATGCAGAGAGAAGTAAACGTAAGTACACATTGATGGCCTAAGACACGAAACGAGCGGTTTGTGTGAGAAAACGAACAGTATTTATATCGTTTTTACCTTTTGTAATCACAGTCACGTCTAAGTACTCTGAGATCGATGGTGCTTCTTTCTGTGCAAGCGCCAGAAAGCCCCGGAAATGATCTCTCGCACGTGTACGTCACTCATTGTTTACACAGAGATTTCAGAAGTGTTATCCTTCACTGTGAAGATCTAAACATATTTAAATATACAGGAAATTGCAATGGAAGACGATTTCGATATATCTACAGACAACGTTGATTTTTTTTTTCCGTAACCGTGCAAGAGATCACTTCCGCCACTTTCCGCCGCATGAGCAGGGTCGAAGCGCCCGTGCCTTCAGATCAGTTGGACGTGACTGTGGTTACAAGAGGTAAAAACGATATAAATACTGTTCGTTTTCTCACACAAACCGCTCGTTTCGTGTCTTAGGCCATCAATGTGTACTTATATTTACGAGTCATTAAATCATGTTTAATTTGGACTTCTCTGTGCATGCACTTTGAGGTGGTGACCATAGACCTCCATTATATGACTGACATACAAGAACGGTTTGACCTAAAAATATCAAAATTGAAACTACTTTGGAAACAAAGACACCTAAATCTTGGATGCCCTTGAAGTAAGCTAAAAGTAAGCTACCAAAAATTAATTTCAAAGCGAACTATCCCTTTAACGTGACGTTATCTGAGCTTGGATTCAATAAAAGCTTTTTTTTTGGGACTAACTATATATGACCCCATATGTTAAAAGATCACCCCTTTTTTTGGGGAACCAAGAACATTATATATTGCAACCAAAGATTCTTCAGCAGTTTTTCATGGTTTCTAAACAGCTACATTGCTTCATTTTATAAGCTGCAAGCTTCTGATCTGAATCGAATTGTATAATAGAAAGACTGTTTGCAAAATAACTGAGGACAATAAACTGAGGACAAATCTTTTTAATGAATGGTCAAAAGTTCTTATTCATATCCAATTCGAAATTGACTGAGAACTGTTGAGTAATGTGTATTGTTTATGAGATAACTGACTCGTACGACAACATTAAAACAGTGTTGTTTTAGTATTATTCATATGCTATTCTAATATTTACTCATTTAAATGAACTTTTAGATTTTGAAAGCGAATTTAAATCAATAAACACTTTAACAATTTTGAATTAGCTTTTATTTTATTTGTTAATTTTTTTTACATGCTTTAGACATTTTTATTATTATTTAGCTTTCATTTTAGTTTAAATATCAGTTTTAAGTTTAGTAACTTTGATACTTTAATGTATTTCAGTTAGTCGTGAAGGCAACATTTCTAAGCTTAAGTTGAAATAATCTTTTAATTTTTTTAATTAATGTTTTATTAATATTTTTAGCTTTAGTTAACAGAAATAACACTTTTTTGAGTTTGAGTTTGAGGTTGTGTTGCTTCCTCAAAAGAACTAAAATAATCCATTAAGTAGAATTAGAATCATTAAATCCCTCAGAACTTTCTATATTTGACATTGAGTTGCTACCAATTTGTCCACCTCTGTCTCTCCCTCTCTCTCTCCTTCCACTGCAGCATCCTGCTGAGATGTGACCTGGTATGGTCTTCGTCACCATATCTAGCCTGGCTCCCAGCAGAGACTGTTGCAGTTTCTTATCTCTCTCTCTCTCTCTCTCTCTCTCTCTCTCTCTCTCTCTCTCTCTCTCTCTCTCTGAAGTACATCATACATAAGCTTTGTTCTGAGCAAAAATTCTGCATCTCCGGTTTCACATTCATTCTGACATCTCCCACAATAGTTCCCTGACCGGCATTATTATGGTGCTGTGGGTTTTGTTGGGTCTCAGTTGTGAGAGACAATGCAGATGCACACAGCGTTGTGTTCAAGTGTGTTGTGTGCAAGTAATGTTTCATGTTCAAGAATAAATTTGAACAAATGAAAGAGCTGAGAGTATTTTTCATAAACTTTTGAAAGGAGCATTGATAATGTAACTAAGAGCTACATATTTGGAAATTAATAATCTGATTAGATTTTCTGATGAATATCACCATGAAATGATTGGCCATAAAAAGAAAATCATTTTATACACAACATGATCAGCATTGTGTCCCTTTTATTGGAAAATAATTCAAATCTGGCCAAAGTAAAATCAACTGATGCATGTTACAGAGCGAAGCACAGCCTGTCTGAAACACTGCAAACACAGACAGGTGTTTAGTCAAATACATTATTAAAATGGTTCTTTGAAATTGTGAGAAAACAGTGTCACATTAAATTGCTAATATATACAATTCTAAAACATTATGTCATCTTCTTATTTTATCTGCTACCACTTATACTCAAGGTCAGAGAAAACACACATACATATGGCAAAAGTCATGGCATAACTGATAGAGCTGAAAGTGTCCCACCTTTTAAGTAACCCAAGTCTGTGTTGTCTATAGTCTTGATGTTTCCACTTGTCTCCCTCTTTATGAAGAAGAGGAGACCATAGAGAGTCTCTCAGCTGCGGAGGAGGAAGAGGAGGAGACTTCAGAAGCCGCAGCAACAGCAGCAGCTCTAGAGGAAGAGGAGGATGAGGAGGAGCAGTGGAGTGGGGAGGAGCCTGAGCAAGATTCCCCACCTGAGCTCCTAGAGCGGGCAGAGGTCATAGGCGAGGCCCAGGCTCTGCCCGGCCTGCAGGCCGAGGCTGTGGTTCACACGCAGGCAGCTACTGCTGCTGACGAGGCCCCTAATGGGAGATCTGAGGAGGCAGGGGGGCAAGAAAGCCTTGCGGAAGGTGTGTCCATCCTTCTCACAACCTGCATGTTTCTCTCTCCCTTCACAAAAAAAAAGCTAAGCGAAAGCATCGTGAGAGCTTTCTGAGGGAATGTGGGTGGATGGCTCAAATATCTCCTCTATCTGCTGATGCTGCAAGGCAACACAGGCTTGATGGTGACCAGCTTCTGTGGCCAGAGCTGTGTGTTTGTCTGTCAATGTCTTTCTACTAAATTGCTTTCCCCAAAGCAGCTGCCATCTGCTAGCTATCTGATGAAGCTTTTTCTGAACTTTCTGCTTATTTTCTCTATTGATGCTACTGCTGCCAGGTCGACCTGTCTCATTGTTTTCCATTGCTCAGTTAATTTTTATTTGCCAGCTACATTGCCAGTTTGTGGGTGATTTTTGCTGCATGCGCCAACAAAACACCTGGGATTCTATGAGAATCCTATTTTTGTGACTTTGTGATATTGTGTTATGCTTTATTTTCAAAGGCATTTGAAAAGCCAAGCTTGTTGATTCAAATTTTATTTGTTAATTTTCATTTTGCTTTTTTCTTCAAATGATCATGGTCATTTCACATGGTTAACATAATAGGAAGTGTAGAACAATTCTGAATAATGAAAAACTATGTATTATTTCACGATTGGTATTTTAAGACGATTACAGTCAGCCACATGTATAATTGTAATTTATACCAATTTAGTGCTTAAAAGGTTAGTTCACCCAAAAATGAAAATTCTGTCAGTATTTACTGTCTATTTACTTTCTGTCAGTATTTAATCAAACAGATCTCATTCCCCATTGACTACGTAGTCAATGGGGAATGAAATCTGTTTGATTAAAAGATTCTTCCAAATATCTTCCTTTGTGTTCAGCAGAACAAATAAACACATAGAGGTTTGGAACAACATGAGGGTGAGTAAATACTGAAAGAATTTGCATTTTTGGGTGAACTAACCCTTTAAAATGAGCCTCATTAAACAGTACCTTGCACATTCTTATCTTTTAGATTTCAACAATATTGTATTATCTTCTGGAAATCAGACCCACAATGCGTTTTCCATAATCTCTGAATATGTATTTGGCAGAAGTTTTAAGATCAGCTATTCCATCTTGCTGCTGGTGTACTGACGTCAGTATCGTGTTTGGACCACCTCCTTGGATATTTCATCCTCATTTTCTGGACCTCATCCACGCAACATTCAATGTTCTGGGTTTGCATGCTGATCCTGTCATATCCATGCCATCACTCCATCACTGAATTGGTATGTGTGTATCATCGGCTGCTGCTGTTTGAAAATGGAAGTTCATCATTCAGCTTTGGCTGTCTCTGTGGTGGTTGGCCTGGCAAACTTGTACTTTGAATTATTAATAATGCAATACAATGCAGACTACTTGAGATTTGCTTTCAGCTGTGAAGATGGAAGCAGAGCGGCCAGAAAGCGAGAGGACAGATCCCATTGGCATGGACTTCACTGATTCCGCAATGCATCTAGATGATGAACTCCCATCTTACCAGAGCCTTGCCAGAGACATAGATATGCCAGAAAGCCCCTTTGCTCGAACATGCCCCATGGAGGATTTTGAAGAGCCTCCAAGTTACCAGGGTCATGCCAAAGATCCAACTGAAAAGCCTGTTGCACAAAGTGGTGCTGTGAAACAGCCTTCAACCGAAGCAGGCGACCCCAGCAATATCCACGAGGTCCAACCAGAGCAGATTCAAGACAAACAAATGGAAAAAACAGCAACAGAGGGGGATTTGAAGGACAAATCTGGCATGTCAGCTTATTTTGAGACCACTACAATTAAGAAGGATGCTGCTGGGTCTCAAGGAGAAGGGTATTATGAGCTGAGTACTACATCAGAAGAGCAAAAGGACTCTACTGGTAACCTGCCATTTCCCGAAATCAGCTACAGCACTTTGGCTCAAACACACTCTTTGGAAGTCGAGCCAGATCTTCCAGAAAGTTGCGCAGACACACTACACACTTTACCAGCAGAGAGAAGAGATGACTGCAGACTGTCTCCTGGAAAACTGGCTCTAGATCAACGGAGTTACTCTTTGAATATCTCCATTGGGGCAGCGAATCATGGCGATGCCCAAGGAAGTCCCAGAAACTTCTCTCCATTGGCCACCGACATAATGTCTCATACTAGTGGGAGCCTTGACGAATCTGCCGATTACCTTCCTGTCACAACTCCCTCAGTGGATAATATCCCTCAGTTTCCGCCACTGATCTTGGAGACGACTGCCTCTGTCACAACTCCATCATCTTCACCTCCCCAAGCAACAATCACTGATGTAAAGACAAGTCCACAGACAGAGTCTCCAGAATCACCTGTCCAAGCCAAATGCTGTTATAAAAACGGCACCGTCATGGCCCCAGACCTGCCTGAAATGCTGGACCTGGCGGGTGCCCGATCAAGGTTGACGTCTGACAACACAGAACCCGATATTATGAGGAGGAAGTCTGTCCCAATGGACATGTCCTCTATGGTGAGTGATTCCTTAGCGCATTTGTTCAAAGGTGACCAGGGCAAGATGGTTACAAAGAGAGAAATGCAGCTAGAGGAGCAAGGATATTGTGTCTTTAGTGAATACTCTGGTCCCATGCCATCCCCTGCAGATGTGCACAGTCCAATGGACTGTTCTTCTCACATCTTCAAAACAGGGATATCAGAGGAAAAAGAAACTGGTCTTGATACACTTGGAAAACAGGAATGTCTATCGACTGAAGATCTGAAAGCAACAGAGGTTGTTTCACCACAGGCAGAACCAGCAAAAGAAAAATCAAGGGATGGAGATCCCTTTGAAAATGAAAGTGCACCTTCTGAAAAACCTTCTACAGAGTCTAAGCAAGAGGAGTCGGATCTTTTGAAGACTGAACCTTTGGAAGAAATCAAGAGTCCAACTTTACCTGATAATGAGAAAGGACAGTTAGACAAACAAGCTGAAACATTCATCACACCAAAAGTGACGGTTACTCTTGAGGAACCAAAGTCTGATTTTGATGCAGGTACTAATCTCTCAGCTGAAACTGAAGCTGAAATTGCTGCCTATGAGAGGCAAATTCGCAAATTGGAGATGGAGGACCGGCCTCTGAGTGTAGAGGAGGAGCGGGAACTCCAGGAACTCAGGGAGAAGGTGAAGAATAAACCGGACCTTGTGCACCAGGAAGCCTATGAGGAGGTGGATGCAGAGGATGCATACCAGCTCACTGGAGCTGCAAAGGACAGAATTGCTCGGCCCATTAGACCATCTCCAGCATCTTCTGTAGAAAGTGCCACCGATGAGGAGAAAATGCATGTTGGTGAGTTTGAAAAACCTAGATCACCTGGTAAGAAAGAGGCTCTACAAACAGATCCTAATAGATTATCTCCAGTTGGCTCTTTTGAGAAATATTTTAGAGAGGAAAGACCTTCTGAACAGGAGGTAAAGCAGAAGGACTCAGTGGAGCCCCTCAAAGAGAAAGTTGCTGAGGAGAAACCTCAGCCAGCTCCTTCGAAGACAGATGAGGGTTCTGTTGACACCATAATGACACAAGAAGTAGAGGAAGAGGTTGAGCTTGCTAAGGAGCCTGAAGAGGTTATGCCAGAACCAAAGCCAGATCTAAACTTGGATGAGAAGCCAGTTGTTGATAAAACTGAGCCAATTGAGGTTGTAGTCGAAAAAGAGGAGGTAAAAGTGGTTGAGAAAGAAGTGGAAGATGAGGAAGTCTTGGATGGGGCCAAAGCTGCAGAAGACACCGTTGAGGCTCGAGCTGCAATTGAGTCAATAGTGACAGTAGAAGATGATTTCATCACGGTGGTGCAGACCATCGATGAGAGCGAAGTCTCTGGACACAGTGTACGTTTCTCAGCTCCCTCTGAAGAAGAACATCCAAAGCTCCCCCAAGAGGAGGAAGAGGAGGAGGAGTCTGTGGAAATGGCACAGGAAGTAGAGATGGAGGCTCCCGGATTAGAGGAAGTTGTAGATGTTCCAGAGCCTATTCAGCCTTCTGTATGTCCTGCTAAAGAGATAGAAGTGCCAGAGAGTGAGGCCCCAACTCAAAGCTACGACGACTACAAAGATGAAACTACCATTGATGACTCCATCTTAGACAGCTCCTGGGTGGACACTCAAGGTGTGATTTTAATATCTCTTTTGCCTTAAAATTTGCTCAGCAAATGACAGAATATTTCAGAATTGTTAACTTGTTATCTATCTTTTGAGGTAGTTTGAAACGTTCGTAAATTAAAGGAGTAGTTCACTTTTTTTAAAAAAAGTTGCTGATAATTGACTCAACCCCATGTCATCCAAGATGTCCATGTCTTTCTTTCTTCAGTCGAAAAGAAATCAAGGTTTTTGATGAAAACATTCCAGCATTTTCTCCATATAATGCACTTCAGTGGGAACCAAACGGTTCAAGGCCCAAAAGACAGTTTCAGTGCAAACTGCAAACTGTTCATAGGGCTTTAAACGATTCCAGATGATTAATAAGGGTCTTATCAAGCACAATGATCGCTCATTTAAAAAAAAAAAGTTTACGTTTTATATGCTCAAATGGTCCCCTTTCTCTGTTCTGTGTGACTCTCCTGTTCGAACTCGTTCATCAAAATGAACAAATCTTTTCCCGAGTCAATTTGTTAATTTCGTTCGTTGAGTGAACCAAATGACATGAAAAAAGATTTGTTTCTTTTTGATAAACGAGTTCGAACAGGAGAGTCATGAATGCGCATTCAATGAACGAAATGAACGAATTGACTTGGGAAAGGTTTGTTCATTTTAATAAACGAGTAAAAAAAAAGCTTATAAAACTTGAACTTTGGGTTTTTTATATACTGTATATGAGCGATCGTTTCGCCTGATAAGACCCTTATTCATCGTCTGGAATCGTTTAAAGCCCTTTGAACAGTTTGCATTGAAATTGTCTTTTGGACCTTGGACCATTTGGTTCCCAATGAAGTCCATTATATGGAGAAAAACCCTGCAATGTTTTCATCAAAAACCTTAATTTCTTTTCGACTGAAGAAAGAATGACATGGACATCTTGGATGACATGGGGGTGAGTAAATTATCAGCAAAACTACTCCTTTAACTGGCTTGCCTATATACAGCAATCAGTGATGCGCGGGTCAATGTATAAACAAACCGCAACCGACCGACGTTTTCAGCTACCCGCCCGCAACTCGGACCGCAAAAAAAAGTAAAAAAAACATTGTACCCGACCTGCTTCCTGGCCGCATTTTTTAAAAGTAGTAAATGCTCATCGGAGCGTTATTGGGCCATAGACGTGTAACAACACAGCATCGCAAGAAGACGTAGGCCTACACATAACAAAGGCAAAGCCAGCACTTTGGTCATCATCTTTCATTATTTCAGCAAATGTCTCCCACACTTTTACTCTTTCTATTTGTGTATTTGCGGAGCTTCCACTCCCCAGTCTTCACCTTTTCTCTTGCCGCCTCCATCTCTCTGCAGACTGTAGTGATCGTAGACATGGCCGGTTCGTGAACGAAGCGCTGATCCACAAGTTACTAAAGTTACTCACTTTCAGACATGCCTGACAGTCGCCTCCGAATCGAAATAAATCAATATCCAGAATTATATTTTACTCCAGTAACTCCAACAGTTCACTGAACCGAGACATGTTGGTGCCACTGTTGAGAGAAGTGATGAACACGAGCAGCTGATACTGCGCATAGATACTGCGTATACCGAACGCACAGGGACAGCGGTTCTCCAATCACTAATAAAGAACCGAGAACTGTTTAGACTGAGCTTGTGTGTTATCTTCGTGCCAGTTATTCAGCCAATAATGTGTAGGGCTGTATATTTCATCAAAAATTGTGTCTAGTACTATATACAAATGTTTAATTGGCATCTTTTTTCAAACGACCCGACCGACCGCGACCCGAATATCATTAAAAACATTTTTGGATGACCCGTAACTGCGGGTAACCGCGGGTGACCGCAGGCACCCGCTCATTTCGGATCAACCCGCGCATCACTGACAGCAATATAATTTGTCATTTTATTATTTCTGTGAGAGTGTAAATTAACTGGCTTGCCTGTATACAGCAATACAATTTGTACTTGAGAGCCATGTTGAATTTCAAGTAAATGCATGTTTACACCCTGGTATAAGAGTAGCTTGCCTGTTTCACTTCATGTACTCTGTAGATGATGATAAGAGCATGGCTACGGAGAACATTGAGCCTCTTCCCAGAGTGATGAGCCCTGTCAAGAAACCTCCTGCAGAGAAACCAATCAAACAGAGGGCTAAAGGTGGCAGGGCAAAAGGACGAATCACCACCCCTGAACGTAAACCTGTTCGCAAGGAGCCGGTACCCATCCAGAAAGAGGAGCTAAAGAAGAAAAAAGGTTTTTGTTGCTGGAGTGACATTGTTTATTATGTACATCCTGTATTTATTTTTTCCATTATGATGAGCATTTTTCTTTAAATCTTTGTTTATTTCCACTTTGGACTGATGTCATGTATCAAATGTAACATTTTGTATTGAGTTTTTTTTTTTACTTATAAAGTGGAAGCAATCTTCATGAGTTACATTTGTATTTAAATAAATTAATTTATCATGCTTCATCCAATCATGCCCCCCCCCCCCCCCCCAATACCATTTATGTTAAATTATTATTTTAATAAAAGATTGATGATCTTTTAATGGGAGTGACTGTACATGTATCTCCAATTGTCCTGAATCACACTGCTCCTGTGACTGTCCTTGATTCTTTGTCTCCCTCTTGTAGCTCTGATTAAGAAGGCTGAGTTCACAAAAAAATCTGATATTCAGACGTGCTCTCCTTCCCGGAAGAGTGTGTTAAAGGCTACCGTAAGGCACCCTAGATCTACCCAACATCACGCGTGTGTTAAACGGAAACCCACAGGTGATCTCTGTCACAAGGAGCTGTTTTGCAATGTGGCTGGCAAACATGGGCATTGGCATGTTGTTTTAAGAGTGATGCTTGTCTAATGTTTTATTCGTTTTTTTCATGTATTTTATATAACAGATTGTTTTAATTACATACGTTTATGTTCATGCAGTGTTTGTAATGAGGCTCACTGGTGTTTTATTCAATTGTTTTGTTTATAATGTTTTCATTTTCTTAAAGTTTGACCTTTCATTTTGTCGTCTGCATGTGTTCTCTCAGTTGCACATGCTTGTTCACACTTCGTTTTCTTTTCAAAGCGATGCTGCTTATTGAATGTGCGTTGCATTGGTCTCCAGGCAACTGGTGGTTTGAGTGAGTTCTGGGCGCTTGGTTAAAATAAATGGCCTCCATCTCTCTGGAGGAAAGGAACTTACCGTGTCATAATGAAGTTCCACTGTTAGCTTTCTGAGAATTGTGCTTGAATTTATGGTAGACATCTGATACATTGCTGCAATGTCCAATTAGACTTACTGAAAAGCCTCTCATAAAATACAGTTCATTTTCAAATTCTCTCTTATGCTGTGCCAAATTTGTTTCAGAGCAGAGCTTTCCAGTAGCTACAAAATATTCAGTTGTGAGTCACAATCCATTTCATATTTGATCCTAAATAGCCCAACTTTGGCTTGAGCATTTAAAAAAAAATCTCAGTTCATTTCAGAGAGAACTACTAGTAAGCCATTTGTTGGTTGATTTGCTTGAAAAGTTAAACCTTTGGTTCTGTGGCGCTTATGGACATTGATCTATTAGTTGACCAGCCCACAACATTGACTGGCAGCACTGTTTGATTGATCAATTAAACCTGTGAATTACAACCCAATCTCATGGCAATTCGTACGAATTTTACGAGAAGGCAAATTCGTAACAGTTCGCACAACCTCACTCGTACGAATTAGTAAGATTTTTTGCTAAATCGTACATATTATACGAATTGGCCAATTCGTATGAATTCGTACGAATGGCTTACCCCTGACCCCGCCCCTAAACCTACCCATCACGTGGGTTTAGACAAATCGTACGAATTCGTACGAGTGAGGTCGTACAGTATAAATTAATACGAATTAGCCACTTTTTAATCACTCGTACGAATTTAGACAAATTGGTTGTGAGATAGCGTTGGATATCACTTTATATCTATGATAAATAATAAAATATGTATAAAAAAGCTTTTAAAAATGTCATGTACATGTGGCTGCTTTTGAATTCAAGATTACATTTGCAGTGTGTTTGCTTGTGTGTAATGTTCAATACGCTTTATTTTCATTAGAGAGGATATATCTCTAAGGTCATGGAAACAATATTTCTAATCATTCTCAATCTCTCTTTTTTTCTCTCTTTCTCTCTGCAGTGTCTGCAGATGGCCGACTGCCCTTCAGTGTGGCCAGGCATTCCAGAGATCGGGTATCAGATTTCAATTTTATACAAATATAATATCTCCAATTCAAGCGTAAAATTCGCTTAAAGGAGTAGTTCACTTTAAAAAAAACTTTGCTGATAATTTACTCACCCCATGTCATCCAAGATATCCATGTCTTTCTTTCTTCAGTCGAAAAGAAATTAAGGTTTTTGATGAAAACATTCCAGGATTTCCTCCATATAATGGACTTCAATGGGAACCAAACTGTTCAAGGTCCAAAAGACAGTTTCAGTGCAAACTGCAAACTGTTCAAAGGGCTTTAAACGATTCCAGACGATGAATAAGGGTCTTATCAAGCGAAACGAATCGCTCATTTAAAAAGAAATAACAAAGTTTAAGTTTTATAAGCTCAAATGTCGCCTTGCTCTGTTCTGTGATGCACGTTCGTGACTCTCTTGTTCGAACTCGTTCATCAAATGAATGAATCTTTTTTTGAGTCATTTGCGGTCATTTGGTTAATTCAACGAACAAAATGAATGAATTGACTCAGAAAAAGATTTGTTCATTTTGATTCATCGTCTGGAATCGTTTAAAGCCCCTTTGAACAGTTTGCATTTGCACTGAATCTGTCTTTTGGACCTTGAGCCGTTTGTTCCCATTATAAGTCCATTATATGGAGAAAAATCCTGGAATGTTTTCATCAAAAACCTTCAATTTCTTTTCGACTGAAGAAAGAAAGACATGGACATCTTGGATGACATGGGGTGAGTAAATTATCAAGCAAAAGTTTTTTTAAAAGTGAACTCCTCCCTTTAACAGG